CTGCTAGAATGGGATTGTCATCAATGTAAAGATTTTTCTGTATTGGTATTAAACCTCCCACCAAATTAAATAATAACTTATATGAATCAACAAGTGTTTTGCCTTCGGGCTCATGTTTTGTTTTGCTTTGATGCATTCTTACATGATTTACATTGCCATTAATACCAAGTTTTTCTTGAATTGCTATTATATCCTTCTTCTTATATAAAAACACTTCATATAATTGAGCAAGTGTTTCGCTTTGATCAGATTTATTATTAGTATTACTTATCATACATATTTATTATAATAAAATAATATATTTAATGCAGAAAATACCACATAAATGTACAAATTTAGCAGAGAAAGCACAAGGTGTTAGATTATATATCCGATAATAATTCAGATTAATTTTCGGAATGTGGATTATTTTTGATGCAAATAGATAATGGTGCTTCGTAGTAGAGAATGGGCGGAGCCCAGAGTCAGTGACTCATAAGTAATTAATTCCGATTTGATTTTTTTCTCGCTCAAAGATATAGTGTTTAATAATATAACCAAAATGTTGTTTGTAAATTACGCAGTTTAAGAAAAACCTCTTATTGAAACATTAATTGATACAGGCGCTAACGCAGATTTAATTACCCAAAATTTATTAACGAGTTGGGTTTAGTACATCATGTAAATGAAACCAATTGTCTCAAATTACAAACTCCTGATGGAGCATTTTCTGTATTAGGAAAGGTTGAACTGCAAACTAATTTTAGCGGAGCTAGTTCTACTAATGTTGATGGGAAAAATAAAAGTATCGATTCCGTTGAATTCTTGGTTCTTGGATCAGATTGGCCTGGGCCTGATTTAGTGTTAGGAAACCCATGGTTGCAAAAAAATGCACAACGATTGATATGTGTAATAACAACTTTCTGTACATGATAATTTTGCAATCCCAATTGTGAAAAATAGTGAATCTGAAACTGAACCTGAGACAGACTCTTCTGATCCAGATCACCAATAGAGAATAAATCATGACAAATGTGTGTTTTTCTCTATATAATCAAATGACGTAAAATGATGTCAAGATCACACATATAAAAACATTTACTGAGATTGTCCATAGAAAAAAAATAAGCATAATTATAATATTTTTAACCTCCAATACTGAGTATTAATTATTCAAATAATAAAAAAAGTTAGTGCAGTCTCATCATCTTGACATGTGTAAAAATATCCAAATGAAAACGAGGGTGTAGATTACGCAAGTTAATTGTTATAATGGATTCTAACTTTATTCCTATTAGATCGATTAATATAATTACAACTCTGAATAATTCATCATTAATTGTTGTTTGAATAAACCTTATTACTAATAAAAATTTCTAGCAGGTTCAAGGACTTTATAATGCTACGCACGGATATATCTTTAAGACAGTTCTATTGGTAAAAAAAACGTGATATGTTTCTTAGTGAGTATTATAAATACGCCTTGAATCCATTTTTCGCCACTCTTTACTTCCTCGCTATAATATTCAAAAGTTTAAAAACAGACTTTAAAACATATTCAAAATAAATAAAATCTAACAAATATTATACATATTCTAATTTTTGATCAAAGGTACGATATTCCAGAATAAAAACATTTATTTACCTAATATTAAACACTGATATTTTTCTTTTTGACATCGTATAATTCCATATATGTTAAATTTTTTTTTTTTCATAGATGTCTCAAATCAATGTTTCGGACATATTACCTTTATTGTCCTTGATCGCCATTCTCATGTGGTTTTCTATTAGTTCTATCAAGAATTATTTTAATGGGGATTTAACCACCCGTGACGCTAATATCTTAAATTTCATCAGGCAACGATTTACCGAAGAAAACATCTTATATGATTCTAAGCTCACTGAAGGACTTGCTAAACTGAACGCCGAACTTAATGCACGTGATGCTAACTTCACTGCGGAGGCGCAGAGAATCTTGTCGTTGATTAATTCTTTTACCACGAGACTTGATGAAATTGAACAAGTTCTTGAACGCTACAATAATCACTTCGGTAGAATTTCATCCGAATTTGATTCAATTAATGAATCTATCGAATCTATCACAACATTCCAAAACCCATTAATCAACGTCATGCAATCATCCAAAGAATCGAACAAGATCAGCAAAGTGAAACGAACCTATCTGAAGATTCTTCCAATTCACACAATTCCTCTATTAATTCTTATTCTCCTAATTCCTCTGCTAGTTCTTCAGGTATGATGGTGAAGCTGGAGTTACCATTACAATTTAAAAAATCGACTAACTTGACTAACTTGACTTTTTTGATCATAGGATCAAAGCCAGCGATCATTTTCAGGAATTACATTAACTATCTGGACTCGCTTTAAACAGATCTTCGATAGGGAAATGGCTCAGAGAAGATATACTTTTGACGAAATGTGTTATTCCGTAGCCATGCGCATTCGTGAACTTGGGGGAGATATTAGGCAATCATTTATATCGTACGACATTTTAATGGGGCTGAGTAAAGATAAAATTTTGATATGTGTAATGCCTGACGCATGCATGTTTATTTGTGCGATTAACCAAATTCGATTAATTACTCATGTACATACTTTTTCTTTGTGAAATCTGCATTCTTTTTTACTTTATCTCTGCATTATTCATTCGATAGATCTAGAGGAAACATGGAAGAAAAAATGTTTAAAAAAGGACAGTATTCGAAATATAAATATTTATTGCTTTGATTTTTATTTCTTGCGCTATCTCGTCATATTAACAAATCTAATATTATTTTTATAATTCAAGTTAACAACGTAAACATGTCAAATTTAGTAACTAAGATTGAAACATTTTTATTATTAGAACCATTAGATATTCTTTGTGGTGCGTCTGCAGTTTACCTAACAATAGAAAACGACACTTTACCTCCTCTCGAGAATGTAAGAGATATAGTAGATCGTGCAGTGAATTCGTCCTTATTAAAAATAGAAGAAAATGAACGAAAAACAAAAGTCTTGGAAGTATTATCTCAAGTTAGTATAAATTATATTTTTATCACATAAACTCGCAATATTTAATGATGACTATGGTAAAATGTAGATAATAGTTTTGGTGTGTCATAGCTGAAGGTCAGGGAATGCCAGCCTGGAAGAGCAATGTCTTCTAGATGTTGAGGGTTTGCTCCTCCCTAACTGTGCGTGACTATTCAACCAAAACGATGATATTTAAATTTCTGAAAATGCACATGTGCGGAGCGTAGTATATGGACAAATTGTAATACAAGATCTGACTTAATGTGCCGGCACTGATTTTTATTGCATTTACCATAGATTTGCAGGTGGATATATTAGCGTTCGGGGTTTGAAAGCATTCAATGTGTTAAATATGGAAAGAGAACTTCCTCTGGATTACACTCGTGAGAAGATTGAAGAGAATATTATTAATTTAAAATACAAGCTTGAGGTAAGTCTTAGATAGTTTAACAGAATGGAGTAATTTTTTTTTTTGTTTGAAATATAACGAAACTTGCGTATTTAGCATCCTAGATCGGAAGTTGATATAAATCTTTACGGTTCGCTCAGGCAAGCTCTCGAAAATATAAATTCTTCAGAACTTACATGGCGGGACCCCGAAGCGAGTATGGTTCTTAGCAATGATTCGGATATAGTAAAAAACTTGCAACCTAGACAGAAGAATGTTTTCTTGGAACCGCGAGAAAATATGAAATGTATTATTCCTGAATCGATCAAAGCAAAATGTAATGAATTTGTGAGTGGCTTTAATAATTCGAATACATTACACGATACGAGAAATATTTTTCACGACAAAAGTTGGAAAGAAAGTGAGAGTAAGTTGATGGAAATTACCGGGCATATTCTTAGTACACTGTAAGTGTTATTTTCTATTCTTAAACGATCATTATTTTAAATATCTTAATATTCCTAATATACTTTTTATTAGTGGTGAGATATGGAGTAACCCTGCATTCATGAGTAGCGTATCACGTAGTGAACAGAGTGAAGGAACATACATTTCGGACATTATAATGCCTTTGCTTCGATCAAGTTTGGGAGACCTTCTCAACGGTAGTATCTGTTTAAGTACAGCAGAACGCCAGAGCATAGCAAGCAAGGCTAGACGAAATGCGGGAGTGGTCAAAGAACGAATGGGGAAAAAACCCGACATCATGGGGTTGTTGAAACAAAATGGAAAAATTATAGAATTGATGTATACTGAGTCTTCACGCATTATTTGCAGTAAATCGAAGAAAGCAGATGATGAGGTGAAATTATGGAGAGAGACTTTGGATGGGGTGAGCTTCATAGACGCATTGTGTAGACCGGCTGGCAATCAATTCGGAGTTGTTGGAATTCAGATCGCTGGTACTACTATGCGATTAAATATCCTTGTGAGAGATCTGGGGGGTATACCAAGATATTTTCATCTCGATCACTCCGAAATTCCGTTATCACCACATATATTGCATACTAAATCTCTTATTCGTTTATTATTGACCTTGAGAAATATCATGATTGTGAATAAGAGCTTACTAATGCATGCGTTAGATCAAGCCATTTCACATCCACCCCGGAATAATTATTCAAGCACAACCATTTCTTCACCGCCATATAATAAATATTAGGTAAAATAGAAAAAACATTATATTATACTTTTATTCATCTCTGTATTAATAAAGTCGACCTGGTAGTCGAGTTTTTTTTATTATATATTCAACGTAAGCACAAAGTGTCGAAAAAAAAGCTAATTATTTCACATATCAAGAATATCTGAATTGAGATTATTTACCTCTAAATATCTGCATACTTCTACATAATCAAATATCGCTTTCGTATCTTGCGTATTCCTATTTATGATTGTTATAAAATTTTCGTCGATTACATGCATATACTTCACCAGATTTTTGAATTGCATATACTGCGTAGGATTCATGGTAAATTTACCTTGAGATTTACAAGACATATTTATGTATAGTGATCAGGATATTCAAATTTTTCTCACGCACTCATGTAATTTTATCTTTCGTAGGAAGTGCACTCCGTGCATTAACTCAAACTTTTGAATATATCCGTATTTTACATAAAACAATGGTAAACACTCAATCCCAAATTGACTCGTTGAGAGAATTGAATTCTAAGCTCGTAGCTGAGATTGCTAACCTTAGAAAGGAGAATACTGAGATTCCTGAACTTAAAAAGGAGAATGCTGTACTCTTGGCTGAGAATGCAAGGTTAAAACGAGCCATGGAAGAGCATGAGGCCAGATTCGCAAAACTAGAACAGAATGATAAAGACAAAACTAGCCTTATTGCTAAACTAGATGATGATATCAAGGAAATCAAACAGGGCCACTCTGAAAAAGAAACTTTGACTTACTGCGAAACACCCGAACAAATAAACGATAAATCTAACTCTGATATATATCAGAAGTCAATAACACAATGTTATGCATCACCTATCCACACAGAGACTAAATCGTTAGAAGAGAAAGAGTATGACGAATTCCTGGAATCAGAACATAGAAAAAATGTTGGTAATGAGATAAGAGAGAGAAACCGGGAAAAAAAAATTCGAGCTCAGGAGTCTCTCTCAACCTCACAGGCTACACCCTCTAACATGCAAATGTCTATCGATCAGAATGAGAATCAAAATATTTCAGCCGGGGGCCTAGGCCAAAATTCTACAATCCTTACTTTAGCTCAATTATTTGATAAAGCAATTGATGCCGAATGTGGTGCAATTCGTGCTAACCAGGAGGAAATTTTACGCTGGTGTTATTACGGAAAGGAATTCTTAATTCAGGTTAGCGAAATTATAAAAAATAGTAATGGCAAAATTGGTGAGAAAAAAGCTAAAGGTATAGTCTATGATAAGATACTAGAACACATTTCTATTATTCGTAAAAAGAGATCTGAAGATACAGGTTTACAACTTCCAGAAATTTCACGCAAATACTTACAGGGGAAAACCCAGAAAGCTGTAAAAATATATAAATTATTTGAAAAAATAGGTATAGATAAAATTAAGTATATTAAAATATACAGTGCGAACTCTATTTCGGAATTAACTAATGACAAAATCCAAACAATTATAAATCATTTCTCTAAAAATATTGATACCGATTTACCTGATAGTTCTATTAACAATTCTTCAGATGATTTACCGGAAACTGAGGTGTGTGTTCCAACCACTGCCTCTATTCCATTGACTCATATCCCTAATTCTTCAGGTCCAGATGATTTTCCGGAAGTTGAGTTAAGTGAATCTACCATAACTCCTATCCCTTCTGCTCATATCTCTAAATCTTCAGGTCTAGGCGATTTGCCAAAAACTCAGGTAAGTGAGAAAGTAGAGCTTCGAATTTCTGATGAGTCAAAGACTCTGGGCTTAGCCCATTCATCATCCATATATCAGGGGTTTAACTCAGATTTCTCTGACAATGATGAGGTAAATAATTGGAGTGCAACGTACTCTGATAACGATGATGAGGCAGGGTATTATTGGAATCCGAGTACTGGAAAGAAAATTTATAAAGAATCTATGGAATTGACATGCTCTGCATGATCTACTATATTCTGATCATTAATACTTCATAAAGATTGCTCAACTATAGTTATTATCTGTAATTTGGCTATATACGCATATATTCCAATTTTTTTGTGCAATGAAAATTTATTCCTAGAATTTTAATGTATACGACACCTGACCATAATAACAATGCATGATTGATTTATTTCTGCACACGGGGTAATTATTCGAATTTGGTTAACGCATACATTTTCTTTGTAATAGTAATAGTAATAGCTAGGGGTAAGTAAATAAATGGGGGGACAACTCGATGTTACACATATAGATCTTGTGAATCCAAAACTGTCACGCCT